AAGAGTGTACGTGTGTGAGTGCATGTCTGTCTGCAGGAATACACATGAGTACACGTGTGTCTTGTGTGAGTGCACATGTAGGTGTATGTGTGTCCTTGGGGTGAAGTTCATGAAAATCAGAAGCTTGTTCAGCATTAGTCAGAGGCCGAGAAACAAATATGGGGTTGAGCGTCTCCATCTGAGAGGGTGAACAGCTTTGACGGGAAGCATTCCTTGTTCAGAAATGAGCCAGAAGCCTGGAATGCCACCCACCAACCCGCTCCCAACTAGAACTCAGGGGTTATGCAGAACATTTCATTACTCTGTTTGTCTGTCCATCCTCACCGCACCCCAACCTACAAAGAAGGAGAAGGAGAAAGAATTTGAGACCAAAACAGCTTCCTGTCTCTGAGCAAGAGAGTGACTTGGTCAAGTCACTGGGCTTGGCCAAGGTTAGGGAAATACTTTGAAGATTAATGGACCCGTATAAATGTTTATTTGTTATGTTTTCTCCTCAGCCATTAAACAGAGCACAGAATGCTTGCATATAAAATACAGCAAGGAGGCCTTGGTAATAATTAATGTCTATAAAGGTGTCATTATCAGATTCAATCAGTCTATAAAGAACTTTTTATCAGAACCAAAGGGAGGCTGTGCCTTGGTATGTGATCTGGAATCATCACTGCAAGGGAAACAGAACATCTGGGTGAAGAATTGACACACTTATTGGGGAGGATCAAGGGAATGCTTTTGGAGAACCCAGATCCCTCAGGGGAACATTTCCACACCTGCTTGAAAAAGGATGAGCCCCCAGGTTGACCTGCTTTCGCAGCCCATCAGAGGAGACCTTCCTAAGGACACATGAGGTAGAATATCCCACCACCTCTCAAAGGCAGGGTGTTAGAGAAACACACTTTGTATTGGTTGACAAGAAAAGGGGCCAATCCACCCTCACATCCTCTCAGAAATGAAACTAATAGGATTTTATATGGAAGAGATAGAGTCACTCTATCAAAAAGAATTGGCCAAATTTCAAGTATTTCAAGAGATTAAGAATCGATGGGACTGAAGGAAGAAGTGCAAGCTACCTTAAAGGCATTACCGAACAAAACCCAAGTCTCCAGGCATTGACCGAATGCTTAATGTTTCCTTGGTTGATGAAGCACTGGAAGCACTCACTAGTCTAGGGTAAGAAATTTAGAAAACGGCAACTGGGAAAACCTACTGGAACAGATCCATATTTTTGCTCATTTCAAAGAGAGGTGCCCCATTCCATTAGGCTCACCTTCCCAACACGATCGCTGAAGACAAAGTGGGTGCATTAGCAAATGTGGTCAAGAAAGTTGATGGTGCCTGGCTATCCAAAGATATAGTGTCTGGAGTCTTAAAGGCTTGAAGATAAACAAGAGGCCATCTAGCTGAGAAGCAATAAAGCCCACATGGAAGACGCACACCAGTCTGTGTGATCACAAGGTGTTGAAGGGATGAGGTATCAGACATCAAAGAACAAAAAATAAAATCATTCTGAATGAGGAGGAGTGCAGAGTGGAGCCCCAGAGCCCACCTGTAGGCAACTGGACATTCCTTTAGAGAAAGGTCACAGGGAGGAAACAATCCAGTCAGGAT